GCACGTTGTCACGTCGGCAAAAGTGTGCAGGATCCTGAACACATGAACAGCCTTCCCCCCAAACTTCAACTGCTTGAAGTTGTTACTGACCGACGGGAGTAGGTACAGGTATCCTATTTGCTACGTAAGGGGATCTCAATTTGAGTGCACTTACCGGGGACAAGCGGGAAGTAATTTCTCGAATTGGTTAACACACTGATGTACGCTGTTATGTTGTCGGAGCTCAATCCGTTGTCGTCGGCTGTCTGGTAATCCATTCCGTCAAAGTTGTCGGCGTTACTTGCCACGTTGTCGTTGAAGTTGAGGTCGCGTTCTTCGCGGGCGACTTTATTCTCATGCTCAAACGTGTCGTGGACGGCACGAAAAGTGTCCGCGACTGAAGTGGAATGGCCGAAGGAACCACTACGTCTATGGTCGATAAAGTTCGCATCAAACCATTCGTCATGGTGTCGTTGGGTTGCTGCCATTGCCTCGAAATCGGAACGCACCCCCTCGTCCAAACACCGCAGTAGACCGCGTTTTGATTGCAGTTCATCACCTTACATCTCGCTTTAGATCACCCGTAGAGTTCATGAGATTGTTACCGCCAGTGCGATCTCGAACTGCACAAGGAGTGTCCCCGTTTGACGTACACAGCACCTTATACAGCGCTGCATCGAATTCGTTTTGTCGCCAAAGGTCACTGCAAGGAATCCGATAGATGCATACATTTTGTCCAATCAATCGCCGCAATATTGATTGGTCCTGCTAAAGTAAGAAGGTCACTTTCCATTGTACTCATGAACATCAGCCGCCTCCTCAACAGCGAAGCCGTGGACGGAGATGACGCAATCGCTACGGGCAACAGTGCTAGCCCACATTCATCCGTGAGATTTTGTGTGAGCAGTGCTGTACTCGAGTGCAGTCATCCCCATGAGTACATCCCTTTGGGAGCGAGTGCAGACGGCTCACACGACAGTCGTTACTTGGCCAAGGTGGCCGGTGTTGTCTTACCGGGCGACGGCAGGCATTCAAGAAGTCGTTACCTTGAGCAATGCATTATAGCCACGTTGGAACTTCAACAAAATTCAAGTCTAACTACTGCTGTAGGATGGCAAAAGCTGGATATTCGAAGAGCTTCCAAGACGCCGCAGTTAAGTACGCCACGGCAAATACTCCGTGTACATTCCGCTGGGTGTATATCACAGGGGTCGTTAAGGGGATGGAAGGTATTGTACGTAGTGTTCACTTGACGCCTGAACTATACGCATTTTCCCCCGTAGAGTTGGCATTTTCCACGGGGCTGCTCAACCAACGTGGAGAGGATGCTGCCATGTACGCTGCATTGTTTCAGGAGTGAGAGGCCATGCGTATTCCCACAACTTTAGGAAGTTTGAATATGCGTACGTTGAACTGGTTATACGTTCACTCACGTCACGTGGTAGTCGGACTCCCAATCCTCGTGCCGATTAGACGACTGCAAAAACAAGTACAGAATGTCCACGTCATGCCCATGCGCAAACCAGTAGCTGGTGCGCAATATATTGGGAGAGCCCGTCGAGCATTGCTTCAGGCACTACGAACGTACACGAGTAGAAGTGGTCACACTGCAGCGGTAAAATATAACCACATATCCATACATAACTATATACTACTTTTAACGAGTAACGCAAATCATAGCTTGCAATTTTGGATACAAGAGAGCCGATAGATTCATGTGTCCATGTTTAAAAGTCGTTCGAAAACTACGTCGATCACACTGCAGCTGGACGCACGATCATGCATGCCGCTGCGTCGTCGTACAAGAACCCGAGGTGCGCTCGTAGTACATATAACGCATGCGAGTCACTTGATCATGATAGCCTTGTAAAGGTAACACTTTGAATGATGGTTTATATTAAATAGAAATTGTAAATAGAGGGCACGTGAGTTGGTGTCTGAATCTCTCAATGGCATGCCGCCGCAATAGACCAAGCTGTCACTCAAGCCGTCGTGGCTGCCTCATTCAATATGGGCACCTCCGAATACCCTACCTCGAAATGACCTCCTCAAACTCTGCCAATTGTCGCTCGAGAAAATGTATGGCACTGGGTGGCATCGACGACACCGAGATCTTGATGCGGACAAGTGAATGTAGTTTTTTGTAAAATGGCAGTGTATCTGGTAGCTACTCTTTATCCTTTATCAGAAAGACGTACTGTGATACGACCAAGCTGTTCTGAGTGATTAAATGAAACTTGTGGGACTTGTGGGCTAGGGAACTTCAAATTCGGCACATTTTTCATTCACACGTAGTGTTGTAGAACCCATAGCTTTTGCATTCAAGGGTGCGTACGACCTGCACGAGTTGGTGCAGCACTGGTGCACACCAACTGCTATATAGTACCGGTATACCACATGTCCAGTGTCGCATGTATACATCTTGCGCATATCGTGACATACAAGTTGTCGCACGAATATACAGTAGTATTACTTTTTTCGTTCGGACCAGTGTTGCCTGCTCTTATTGAGTCCCATGTACTCCGAGTATTGTGCTTTTCACAACTTTTGGCTATTCTGGGACTAAAACCCGTAGTATTAGGTTGAGTCCAGCTTCGTTTTAGCAAAACGAAGCACCAACCGTACCACTCTTTTTAGTAATTCCATGCACTAATCAGTGGTGGTTTTATGGGTCGTATGGGTTTGCTTCAAATTGATTGGTCGCCAAGGGAATTTTTGGCTGGTTTTCCGAGCAAGGTTTGCTTAACAGGGGTGTTTGCCGATCATACTTCGGCAAACGCGGTGTTTAACAGAGATGATCAGCTTGGACATGCGATGGCGGTGTGTTGTCCTTGTCCAGGTGTATTCAATTGACGTAAACACTGTTGTGGTCTTACTTGGCCTCTCCCATCGGTCCGTCACACGGTTCATTGCGCAGTTCATGAAGACGGGGACTGTCGATGCTATGCGCAAGTCAAGGAAGAAGAACCGTTGGCCCGTTCAAGTGAACGAATGGATCCTACAGTACACAACACGTCATCCTACAGTACACAACACGTCATCCGTGCTTCTACATCGAAGAGCTCCAAGACGCGCTGAGGTTGGAATTCCCCACGCTTGGAAATGTCTCCCAAGCTACCATTTGTCGCGCATTGATGCACGATTTGGGCTTGACTCGAAAAGGTGACATATGAATGAAATACTGTATTCGTTATTGTTATGACGTTTACTTAATAGTGCTTGAAAAGCGAGCTCGCGAAGCGGCAGATTTTGAGCTACATGACTACTACCGTCGACTCCGCCCATTTTATTCCAATCCCGACCAGTTGGTGTTTGTCGACGAGACATCAAAAGACGGCCGTGATGCCTTGCGGAAGTACGCCTGGTCGAAGCGGAACACAAATGCCATTGTCGCATTGCCTTTTTCACGTGGACAGTGGGTGTCTGCATTAGCTGCATTTTCCACTGGCGGTTTTTTGTCCTGGGACTATGTTGACGGTATTAATGTATATTAATATCGCAAAATAGCGAAAGTGCATACAGTAAAAACATAGATTGGCAGTTGTAAGCTGATATTGAATATATACATTGATAGGAAAGTTCGATCGGGATCGTTTTCACAAGGTTATGACGGATCGTATACTTTCGTACTTAAACCCGTGGCCGTTGCCTCGATCTATCCTGATCTTGGATAATGCTAAGATCCATATGTACAAGGAGCTCCAAAACGCGGTGCTATCGACGGGAGCGTTGTTGTTGTTTTTGCCCCCATACTCCCCACAACTAAATCCGATCGAAGTCGGATTTAGTCTTCTCAAACGGTGGATCAACAAATACCCCATGGCGTTTCGCTTTGATATTCGTGCGACCTCGGACGTTGCCTTTGTTGAGTGCACTAACCAGCGCGACGACGTTGGGTACAACCTCTATCGATATTGCGGGTACAACACGGACGACCTCGACAAAGGCACTTTTCAAATGTCTGAGATGTAGATTTTAGAAATACAACTACAATTTTACGTTATTCTATTAATTGATAAATTAACAAAGTAGTTTAAGGATTACATATATTCCTCATTAGCATGGTCAACATCGTCAATATTAACACGAGATGCACGTGTACCTACTAGAGGCTCACGAAATGCAGGCATCAAGGGGTACGGTGGTAGGCCGAGAATGTTTCTGAGGTCACTGACGCAAAAAAACAGTCAAGTGGCGCGCTGGCCAGCGATCCAATCCGAATGCGCACGCAGCGGTAAGCTTCAGCTTCCCCCCTGATGACGTTTTCGCGCTGCTCTATGTGGTGCTGCGTCATTTGGTCGATGTGGCCAAGCTGCTCCATCGTAGCATTTGCCGGTATT